AGAAAATTACATCAAAACACAAATTTTTTTAAAAGAATCAATTTGATACTGATATCGATATTTTTTTTCAAAATTTTATGATATTTTCAAATTTATATTTTATTTAAAAATAAAAACATTATCGTTTTCTCAAAACCACATAAAACCGTATTATATCGAAATAAAAAAGAAATAAAACAAAACACTGAAATCAAGATATGTCTCGATATATTGTACAAATATCCTTCTAATTTAATATAAAAAACAATGAATATTAAAATACTTAAATAATAAAATAAACAATTACTATAGATTTAGACGTTTATCACTTTAATTTCATATTTCAACATATTGTTTGTTAATAAAAAATGAAATAAGAGTTTCAAACTACCCCTTAAAAGAAACAAATTGTAACTATTGTTTAGTGTCCAAACAAGATAAGATAGGATAGAACATGATATGACTGAATAAAATAATTGTTCAACTTTTAGTAGGACAGAACATAACAGAACAAGTTCTGATAATTTATTTATATATTTTAATTAATTTATATAATTCGTGAAATTATAAAAAAAATAATTATTTTAATAAAAAATATATTATTATAAAGTTTTCTTCAAAAACAATTAAATGACACCAAAATAAAAGGTTTATATAATTTCCAATATTTATATTATCTCTTTTCTACATTATTTTTTATTAATAATATACAGTAAATTACATAAATTAATAAAAATATAGAAATAAAATGTAAAAATGAGACCAATTTGATGTTTAAGAAAAATATTTTGTTTTATCTTGATGTTATATTAGTAAAATACTAGAAGGGTACTCGCTCAATGTAGCGAAATAAATCTCGATTTTAGTGTGTAGTTTTTATTCTTTGTTTCTGTTGATATAATACAATTTTATGTGGTTTTGAGAAAACGACAATGTTTTTATTTTTGAATAAAATATAAATTTGAAAAAAAAATCCATATTAGTTCAAATTAACTATTTGATTTAGATTTAATAATAATATAATTTTTTTTATAAAAATAGTAATTAAACATTATGTTAGAACTCAATGATTATCTTAATTATATTTTAGATTTTCTATATTTAAAATGGATGTTTATCTTGTATTTGATCATGTTTATTTATAATTAATTATACGAATTTAAAAATAGAACTTTAATAAGTTATATTTATACAAAATTACTTGTAATCTTGAATTTTATATAATATTTATCAATAAAATATTTGTTATATCTATACTATCTTATAAAACAAATTTAATAAAAGTCTTAAAGTTTTAAAATACTAAATGACCAAGATACCCTTTATATCACTTTTTCACTTTTCAACCCCTCCTCTTCTCACATACACTCACCCCCTCACATATACTCACCCTCTCACAATCGATTTTTTTTAAATTATAATTTTAAATTTACATTTTATACCCCTATAATTAGTTAATTAATTTATTTTACGTCCTTTACTTTTAAATGTTTCATTTTAAATCTTTATCAAATTAATATACATAATCGTATATCAATTAAAACATGTTTAAAAAATATATTTTTATTTTTACAAGTTACACCATTATAATCGTCTCGTTAATACCTTCGAAATGAATCAAATATTGAATAGTTTTTGACTTAATTATATTATTTTATATTATATATACTGTGAAAAAATATTTTTAATATTTACGATTTATACTTTTATAGTTATTTATTTATATATATATTTTGGGGTTAGACTGTCCAAATTGCACTGTATAATATGTTCTGAATTAATATGTTCTTGGATTATTTTGAAATATGATATATATATGCATGTATTAATTCAACCTTAATCTGAGTTCTGGACAAGAAAGAGTGTAAGCAGTTGAAATTTCATTCTAAGGGGGTGTTTGGGATTGCTTATTAAAACAACTTATGCTTTTTTGTAAAAGTGCTTATTAACTTATGTGGTATCAAACTGGAGTTTTGTAAAAAGTGTTTGGATTAGCTTATAGCGGTACCAAAAAGCAATAAGTTGATAAGTTGTTTTTTAGTGTTTGGTAAATTTTGCTTATACATGTAAAATGACCAAAAAGGACATTATCTTGTTTCATTTCCAAAGTGTCAAAACACACAAAACAGTAACCAAAAACCCTAAATCGAGTTCCATCGTGAATCAGTAACCTCAAACCCTAAATTGTTCTTCCAAATCGAGTTCCATGGTTGAAGAAATCGAGTTCCATGGTTG